TTGTGGGTTTAGTAACACTTTAATGTTGCCAAAACACACACCAGTTGTCATGAATTATAGTTCACGATGGCCACCCCCTAGATTTGCCACCTCATCCCTTTAAAATCGAACACACATATTGATTATAGGGGTTTCTGTGGCTGATTAAGGTGGTAATTAAACTTATCTGCAATAAATTAGCCTCAGAACCTGTGTAATTAATATGTTTTGGTTTTAAAGGTTTGAGGTGACAACCCTAGCGCCCCCAATCTTTGAAGTCAACAGGTGCACAGAAGTAAGATGGACACACTTCACAAAATCCCAACCTCCTTAATGAATTGTCCCCAGGTGTGTCATCTCACACAGAACCTGCTCGAATTTCCTGATGTGGAAAGAACAGGATTTTCCCAGTAGGCCTTACACACTTGATGTTTTCAAAGGAAAGGAGATATAAACATACTTGTTGTGTGCCAAAAACATAAGGCCAAGCCGCTGTTGTCAAAACAAAGAGGCCCATGAAGCACAAAACCATTTTTTTGCTTGGAGGGAAGAGTGTTGATGGGTGCTTTTCACATTGTGATGATGATTTGCCTAAGTGTTTGTTGCAAATGCTTTCAGCTGTGTCCAACAATTACCACCAGAGGCTTTCTTCACAAGGGTGGGGGTCATCTATGAAACCAAGAAGCATAAGTGCTACAACTGGGTCTGTCATTAGTTAGGAGGACTGTTTACATTTTACTTAGATCTAAAGGTAGCAATGTCAACCTCCACTTACGGTACATTCACTTGGAGTTTAAAAATGAAAGCTTATCTCCAAGCAAAATGGGAAGCCCCTTCGCACCTATTCTCAATTTCCTTTTTTAACAAAACCCTTCTTAGACTCTTTTTTACTTACCTGAATACATCATCACATGACCCTCCAAGGCATCTCTTTCAGACGTGAAGACCGATGATCCACTGCTTCAGTCCAGTTGCATGAAATGTCAATATTGTATTTAATAGCAGGGTTTCCTAGAAAATGATTTCAAGGGTTCCTCAATGTAAAAAAAAGGGTTGGGAACAGCTGTTCCATCGATGATTACAGTTCGATCCCTCTGCCAACCGGCCTTGTCTCTAACCTTCATAGTGACATCATAGGAGCATTCTTCTCTCTGGCCACCAAAGTGAAAGGGAGATTCTTCCTACTACCCATCAATGTAAGGGGGAGATTCTTACCAATGCCCACCAGTGTAAGGTGCATTCTTCCCACTGACCACTAATATAAGGAGCATTGTTCACATTGATCTCCATTGTAAGGAGCATTCTTCCCACTGACCTCCAATGTAAGAAGCATTCCTCCCACTGACCACCAATGTAAGAAGCATTCCTCCCACTGACCACCATTATAAGGAACATTCTTCTCACTGACCCCTATCATAAGGATCATTCCTCTCACTGACCTCCAATATATGGAGCATTCTTCTCACTGACCACCAATATAAGGAGAATTGTTCTCATTGGCCATCAATGTATGGAGCATTCTTCTCAATGAACACCAATGTAAGGAGCATTCTTCTCACTGGCCATCAATGTATGGAGCATTCTTCTTACTGACCACCAATATAAGGAGCATTCTTCCCCCACTGACCACCAACATAAGGAGCATTCTTCTCACTGGCCATCAATGTATGGAGCATTCTTCCCACTGACCACCAACATAAGGAGCATTCTTCTCACTGGCCATCAATGTATGGAGCATTCTTCTCACTGACCACAAATGTAAGGAGCATTCTTCTCACTAACCACCATGCCAATGTACTGTGGACTATCAATATTGTATTTAATAGTCAGTGTTCCATGAGACCAGATAGTAATTTCAAGGGTCCCTACAAATTAAAAGGGGCTAGGAAAGGCTCTTCTACCAAGATCCACTGATACAGTCCAGTCCCTCTGCCAAATGGTCTTGACACCAGCCCTCATAGTGACATCATAGGACCATTCTTCCCACTGGTCACCAATATAAGGGGGAGAGTCTTCCCACTTACCATAGATGTAAGGAACATCCTTGCAAGTGGCCATTATGCCAATGTATCGTGAGCTGACAATATTGTATTTAGGGGTTCCCTTAGAACATGTAAAAAAGGGTTGGGAAAAACTCTTCTACCAAATATCCACTGATACAGTCTAGGTTCTCTGCCATTCTCTCTTTTTGCTGCCCCTCGTTGTAACATCATCTAGATGCAGAAAAGCAAGTTCAAAACACATTTCTGAGTATTAACCAAGTCAAACAGTGATGATACCGGCTTCAATCACAGTTCCTGCCCGTTGCCTATGCCCCGCTGACACATTTCACCGGGACTGGGCTTAATCGCAGTGCTGCAACTGGAGCCCTCAGGGCCATTTTAAGACCCTGCCAATGGGCCCAACAGGAGGTATCCACAGTATTATTATTATTATTATAAGTATTTATATAGCGCCAACAGTTTGCTCAGTGCTGTACATTACAATGGGAGACAGTACACAAGACAGTACAGTAACAATACAATTCGATACATGAGGGGTTCGAGGGCCCTGCTCCTTGGAGCTTACAATCTAGGAGGGAGGGGAGAGTGGTACAGGAGGAAATAGCTGTGGGGGATGGAGTGGTAGGTAGAGTGGAGATCGGCAATTAGCTGAGGGCGGGGTAGGCTTCCCTGAAGAGATGGGTTTTCAGGGTGCGCCTAAAGGAGAGGAGGGTAGGTGATAGTCTGATGGATTGGGGTAGGGAGGATGGGGGAAGCCCTGGAGACGGGCATGGGAGGAGGAGACCAGGGAACTAGAGAGTAGGAGGTCTTGCGAGGAGCGGAGAGTACGTTTTGGGTGGTACTTGGATATGAGGTCGGTGATGTAGTTTGGGGCAGTGTTATGAATAGCTTTGTACCTCAATGTTAGCATTTTGAATTTTATCCGTTGGGCAATCGGAAGCCAGTGGAGGGATTGGCAGAGGGGGGTGGCGGATACGGAGCAGTTAGTAAGGTGGATGAGTCTGGCCGCAGTATTCAGGATAGACTGAAGCGGGGATAGCCTGTGGTGAGGTAAGCCGGTGAGGACGGAGTTACAGTAGTCGAGTTGTGATATATGATGAGGGAGTGAATGAGTTGCTTAGTAGTTTCCGGGGTTAGGAAAGGTCGTATTTTGGAGATGTTGCGGAGGTGGAGTCTACATGAGTTTATCAGTGATTGGACCTGGGGCTGGAAGGACAGATTGGAGTCTAGGATGACAACTAGTACTCTGGCTTGCGGGGTATTAGAAAGTAACGTAGTCAAAAGAAGGACCTTCCCTCTCAGGACTCAGGACCCACCACATCATGTGACCACAGACTTGAGACCCATTTGGGTCTAATGAGTATTTAGCTAGTGGAGGTCACCAAGGCTGTACATAGTGCCTTGACATCTGCCCAAGACTAAGCGCCATCTTTCAAGATTAAGCTCCATTGAGGTGCCAAATCATACCTGGCCATTTATCTGTTAAATGCCACAATTCAGCCTGTTTTATTTTCCTTCACCTCATCCTATTACACATTTAGTACATAAGGAGTCAGCAAGTCAAGAAATAAGGAAAATCTAGCCAATAAGGACACAGCAATAAAAACAGGACAGGAGTTCTATCCCTAGTCCGCTACACTAAAAAGGGCATTTGATCACTTTCTGTGTTTCTGCTGGAGATTTTTTTCCCTTTTCCTATTCAAGGAATAAATTCTGAATGATGGCCACAAGAAATAAAGCAGTCAAAGACAACAATAAAAACAATGGACATCTAAATGAAAGGGGGATTGACTTAGTCCTGGTAAGGCGGTGGGGTTTACTCTTGACCTGGCCAGAAGTCGAGACCCCACCTGGGCCTGGTATCCAAGGAGGCTCCACAGGGACACAAATTGCCTTAATAGTTTGTGGACACCACAAGGCGCAGCATTTTAGCACTACTGTTACCTTACAAACATTTTAGACAAGTTTGGGTTCACTTTAATGGTTTTGTCCGTCAAAGTTAAAGTGAATAATCCTGCCAAAGATCTGGTAACAGGAGAGGTTGAGTAACAAGGCCGTCTTTGTGATGCTCTGAGACAGCAGATGTGATCTTGTGAGTTAAGAGAGAATATAAATACCACACAGACTTTACGCCAGATGCAGCGACTGTACGTATAACCCCATACAGGGAATTCTCCGCACAATATAAAGGATAAAGTATTAGCAGCCGTCCTGAACATGAACACCTCGTTTTCTATCATTCGGTGGCCCTAACCAAAGTCTGTGTATACAGCTGTTCACATGCTGAATTTTAACCTACTTATATATTGCCTTCTTTGGATCCTTCCTCATCAACATGTTAATGGCATTTTTTAATGAAACCTTATTTTAGAGCCAATTATGTCATCGCTGTGTCTCTGTACCTCTCTATGCAATGCAGCCAGACCATGGCTGGTGGGAGGGGCCGGCAGGGTGCTGTACATAGCACATTGCAAACATTGCAGCGCCCTGCCTCAGTACTCCTCTCAAGAGTCCTTGCCCTGATGCCCAGTGGACTGGTTTTTGGGAGGAGTTATGCAAATATACAAATGCCTTGATAGGTGGGTGTCAGTCTGGAGGAGTGGGTATTCATAGGCAAGTTGCATTTGCATGCAGACCACCCCAGATAACACCCTCATGTGATGCTAATCCTCCACGATAGAAAGGACTGAAATCCAATAAATGAAAGGCGTGGGGGCAGGGACACTCATTATTTCACTTAAGCCAAAAAATATTTTACATTTCAAGTATATGTTTTAGTGTCAGGAAAATATGGAGTGCTGCGTATTTCATATGAATATTTTTAGCCAATAAATGGAGCTTTGGGGTCTTCTTAGTTTTTTAGGATTATTCTTAAAGTGTTACTAAACCCCGGACCCTGCATTCACTATATCCGGTCTCCCCGGACCCTGCATTCACTATATCTGTCTCCCCGGACCCTGCATTCACTATATCCTGTTCTCCCTATATCTGCGTCTCCTCCCTGCATTCACTATATCCGGTCTCCCCGCACCCTGCATTCACTATATCTGGTCTCCCCGGACCCTGCATTCACTATATCCGGTCTCCCCGGACCCTGCATTCACTATATCTGGTCTCCCTGGACCCTGCATTCACTGTATCTGGTCTCCCCAGAACCTGCATTCACTATATCTGGTCTCCCCGGACCCCGCATTCACTATATCCGCTCTCCCCGGGACTCTGCATTCACTATATCCGCTCTCCCCGGACCATGCATTCACTATATCTGCTCTCTCCCGGACCCTGCATTCACTATATCTGCTCTCCCCGGACCCTGCATTCACTATATCTGATCTCCCCAGACCCTGCATTCACTATATCTGGTGCTCCCCGGTCACCCTACCCGGCAACCTGCATTCACTATATCTGGTCTCCCCGGACCCTGCATTCACTATATCTGGTCTCCCCGGACCCTGCATTCACTATATCTGGTCTCCCCGGACCCTGCATTCACTATATCCCGCTGCTCCCCGGACCCTGCATTCACTATATCTGGTCTCCCCAGACCCTGCATTCACTATATCTGGTCTCCCCGGACCCTGCATTCACTATATCTGGTCTCCCCCCGGACCACTGCATTCACTATATCTGCTCTCCCCGGACCCTGCATTCACTATATCTGCTCTCCCCGGACCCGGCATTCACTGTATCTGGTCTCCCCAGAACCTGCATTCACTATATCTGGTCTCCCCGGACCCTGCATTCACTATATATCCCCGGTCTCACCCGGATTCCGTAGCACCTGCATTCACTATATCCCGGACCCGCTCTCCCCGGACTCTGCATTCACTATATCCGCTCTCCCCGGACCATTGCATTCACTATATCTGCTCTCCCCGGATCCTGCATTCACTATATCTGGTCTCCCCAGAACCTGCATTCACTATATCTGGTCTCCCCGGACCCTGCACCCTGCATTCACTATATCTGGTCTCCCCGGACCCTGCATTCACTATATCTGGTCTCCCCCCATTCACTATATCTGGTCTGCCACCTGGACCGGAGCATTCACTATATCCGCTCTCCCCGGACTCTGCATTCACTATATCCGCTCTCCCCGGACCATGCATTCACTATATCTGCTCTCCCCGGACCCTGCATTCACTATATCTGCTCTCCCCGGATCCTGCATTCACTATATCTGACCCTGTCTCCCCAGAACCTGCATTCACTATATCTGGTCTCCCCGGACCCTGCATTCACTATATCTGGTCTCCCCGGACCCTGCATTCACTATATCTGGTCTCCCCCCCTGGATCTGGTCTCCCCCCCTGCATTCACTGTATCTGGTCTCCCCAGAACCTGCATTCACTATATCTGGTCTCCCCGAACCCTGCATTCACTATATCTGGTCTCCCCGGACCGAGCATTCACTATATCCGCTCTCCCCGGACTCTGCATTCACTATATCTGGTCTCCCCGGACCATGCATTCACTATATCTGCTCTGCCCTGGACCCTGCATTCACTATATCTGCTCTCCCCGGACCCTGCATTCACTATATCTGGTCTCCCCAGAACCTGCATTCACTATATCTGGTCTCCCCGGACCCTGCATTCACTATATCCATGGTCTCCCGGGACCCTGCATTCACTATATCCGCTCTCTCCAGACCCTGCATTCACTATATCCGCTCTCCCCAGACCCTGCATTCACTATATCTGGTCTCCCCACCCTGAACCCTGCATTCACTATATCCACACACATCTAAGGTGTGACTCTCCCTGTCTAATTGGTTTAGGGATGTACGTTTCAATTAGAGAGAAAGAGTAGGAAAGAAAACAGCTTATCTTTCATGAATGTACAATACTTTGTGATAGCATTACCATTAGTGCATCTGATATCAAATGGTTTACAGAGCTGAATAGCTCAAGCTTAAAATGTACATACGCACACCTGAATACGTTTAAGGTTTGACTCCTCCCCCTCCGTGTCCTGTTTTGGGATGTATGTTTCAATTAGAAAGAAAGAGTATAAAAGCAAACAGCTTATATTTCATGAATATTCAGTACTTTGTGATAGCATTACCATTGGTGCATCCTATATCAAATGGTAATTAAAAAAATTACATAAAGAGTAAAAAGGATATAAAGCACGGGTGTCAAAGTGGCGGCCCTCCAGCTGTTGCCAAACTATAAGTCCCATGAGGCATTGCAAGATTGACAGTTACAAGCATGACTCCCAAAGGCAGAGGCACGATGGGACCTGTAGTTTTAAAACAGCTGGAGGGCCACCAGTTTGACACCCCTGATCTGAAGCATCTGTTAAACCACCCCCCCCCTCCCCCCAGGTCCTTTCCCCTTTTTGTACTTTTTTTTTTATAACTCTTCTTTTCCAATGTTGGTGGTGGCCATACTTCCTTGCTGAATAGGTGCTCACTTTATGACATGTATGTGCTAATCTGTGCAGCATTATACTTTGTGCCCAGATCACATGATGATGCACCCATGCTGTCTTGTCTATGACACCCCTGGGCTTACAGGAGGTGGGTTGAATGACAGTGGGTGTCATTCAACCCAGATGAGGTACAGCAATGAGTAGCGGAGGAAGTGTAGGGCAAGGCTGGATAGTGGATTGAGTAAGTAGTTTGAATAGAGCTTTAAAGGTAAAATAATACTGACATACTCCAAGCTAGTCATTCTCAACTGGGGTTCCTTCAGAGGTTGCTCGGGGTTTATTGAGCTGTGGTTGATTGACCTCTGCTTTGATGATGCCTACATACACTCACGGGCCACTTTATTATGTACACCTTGCTATTACCACTTTGGACCCCCTTTTGCCTTCAGAACGGCCTTCATTCTTCGTGGCATAGATTCAACAAGGTGTTGGAAACATTCCTCAGAGATTTTGGTTCATAGTGACATGAGTTACTGTTGTCTTTCTATCATCTCGAACCAGTCTGCCCATTCTCCTCTGACATCAAAAAGGCATTTTCATCCACACAACTGCCGCTCACTGAATATTTTCTCTTTTTCAGACCATGCTCTGTAAATCCTAGAGATGTTTGTGCATGAAAATCCCAGCAGATCGGCAGTTCATTGGCCACATTCAAAGTTACTCAAATCCCCTTTCTTCAACATTCGGATGCTCAGTTTGAACTTCAGAAAGTCATCTTCACCACATCTAGATACCTAAATGCATTGAGTTGCTGCCATGTGACTGGCTGACTAGCAATTTGTGTTACCAAGCAGTGGAACAGGTGTACCTAATAAAGTGGCCGGTGAGTGTAGTTTCAGGGCCATCACCACTTTCCCCAGCCAGGGGCATGACACCAATCATCTTTGGTGGTGTCATTATGACCAACACTGTAGGGCTTTCTTCTGACCACCAATGTAAGGGTCTTTTTTTCCCACTCATCCCTGATGAATTGATTTTAGCAGGGGTTCCCCGAGACCTAAAAATTGCTTCTAAGGTTCCTCTAGGGTAAAAAGGTTGGGAAAGGCTGCTCCAAACCATTATGGTTTCCCATAACAGGCCAATGTCAAAAACTATTCAAATTATGCAAAGCTCCCAAATTGATTCACATGGTGGATTATTTTGGACAGTCCAGCGAAGAGTTATCTATATCAACTTTCACCCAATCATAACAGCCATTACGAAGCCATATGATGACTTCATGCTTATTAAGTAGACTCTCCAAGTTGCAGAATAAATTCATTGAGGATTTCGCTGACTGATGTTCTTACTCCTAGGAGCAAGAATTGAATGTATTCTTCGTATGTGAACTGGTATGAACAGACCTGAAATGAAACAACTTGTATACATTTACAGATGGCAGTTTCATAAAATGCTTCACCTATTAGGATTAGCGATCCTTGAAGGCAAGGTATTATCAGGATTGAAACATTCCTAATTAGTTCTGCTCCAAATGAAAAGCATATCCCCAGGCTCTCTCCTGTGAAAAGCCCAACATCAGTGAGATAATACGGTATTATTGTATATCCACCATGGAAGCCATCTTGCCTCCAGGTGAGCCAGGCTCCCACAACTAGCAGAGGCAGAATGCTGGGGTCACACCCTCTGGGTTCCAGTGAATGCCAGAACAAACTAATAGAAATTTCCTCTGAGCACCAGAACATCAGCTGCTCAACAGGCAGTGATATTAAGATCCATGGAATGTTCATTGGTTCGGCCATTTTGTATCTTTCCACTTTGCGATGTCATCAGTCCTTAGTGGAGGCCTATATCTTGGCTTTTGTCACAGTGTTTATGGCACTGGTATTTGTTTCAATAGGTGGAACTAAAGACAACTACAGAGGGTTGACTTGCATCTTCATGTCTAATGGTCATCAGATGTCCATGGTGGGCTCAAAGGGAAACTGTGCTTCCCTTCTGTAGGGCAAAGCAAAGGTATCACTTGACTTGACCCTTACCAAGAACCCATCTTCCCTTTGTTTCATTCAGGAACTGGGAGCAAAGGGAGGAAGCCTGCGTAAGTTCTAAAGTCAACTGGGAGATTAGGCTGGGTTGAGGACTTTGTTCCCCAGCCACCATGTGACAGCAGTGTACCAATCACTAATAACCAGAGTTGTCATATGAGAAGAATGAGAATGGGTCACATGCTACCTTCATGTTTTATTTGTGGGTTGAAAGGAGCAATTGGGAATATATACAGGGCTTGACAAATCCCAGCTGCCAGGTCATCATGGTGACTAAAAATTGCATCCTTGCACCTGGGTTCACACACTGCCTCCCATTGACTTCATAGCAAAATCACGTCCCATTGCCTTCAAAGCAAAAACGCCTCCAACTGACTTCAACGCAAAAACTCCTGTCAATAGCAATCCTATATGAACACTTATCTCCGCATGCCACTCTACTCTATCACTTGCGAATCTGGAACACACACCGCCACAAACTCGCACAGGACCCTTTTCATAATGGTACTCAAAACACAATGCATGTGGATCGCATCTGTGTGAACCGCCTCAATTATAACACATAATATCTAGCCTGTCATGCGAATCTGAGAGTTTGAAAATGTATCCAGAATATGTGTGAACCAGGGAGGCTCCATTCACACCTGGGTGCTCTGAGAATTGCAGCGATCGCAAAATGTAGGCTCAGTCACAATTTTTTTAAATGGCACCTAAAACGCTGTGCGGTTATGCCATGAGTGGCGCACTACAAATCGCATTGCGTGAAACTTGTCGCCCAAAGTTGCCTTGGCCCGGGAGCTGACAACCTAAAGTTTTTTTAGCTGGCTCCTAGATTCCAAGCAAATTTGACAAGCCCTGTGTATATATATATATATATATATATATATATATATATATATATATATATATATATATATATATACATACACAGGGCTTGTCCAATTTATACATATATATGTGTGTGTGTGTATGTATATATATATAGTTTCTAATGATATATTTACATTTATGTTCATTTATGTTATGATGTTGTATTGTTTGTCTTGTTATATTAATTTGCTCTGTTATTTTGTACTTTTATTGATGTCATTTCATATACTATACTGTATATATTTGGTTTTTTTTATGTTTCGGTATGTTTGTTGTGTATTGTCATACTGTATCTTTCAGCACTTTATTATGACATTTTATATAATACGGTGTATGATGTTACTGCATTACATTGTGCGTCTGTTATGGC